AAGATACCACTTGTGATACATTGGCGTAAAAGGAGGGATACTATTAAAATGTTTTTAAGGATCTAGAGTATGTGAGATGAGGTCAACTACCGACTTTTGTGAATAAGGTAATGAATCTTGTGGTTCTATAAAGCCCAAACATTTCGTGGCCAGGTCTCAGACTAATAAATATCAAGAAGGGCAACGCTGAGTGGGGTTAGAAGAAGTTCCCTTTGGCAGCTTTTTATATATGCTGTGACCTTTCACGGAATGTGTGTGTGTGCAGGCGGATACAACAACACATCATGCGAGCTCAGTACCGAAAAGTACGACCCTGCAGAAGACACGTGGACCGAGATCCCTGTCATGAACTTCTATTCAGAAGAACTCGACGCAGAAGTGATCGACGACACGATCTTCGTCATCAGTGGAAAGTATATCGAGTACCACTTCGTCTCCCACGTTGCATGTTTCAATGACAAGGAGAATCGATGGTTTGTTTGTTTGTTTCTTTGTTTCTTTGTTTCTTTGTTTGATTGCTCAGGGCTGTATAATCACAAACTGTTACCTTTGAAAAGCTCTAGGAAGTGAATCATTTCCGCGATCTTGCGGATGCAGCCCCTTGTAGTAACGTAGTAACTGACCGACGTTTCGGAGGTTCTTCCTGCTCACTCAGGGCCTCGAATAAGCGCGCGAAAAATGGATGGTTAAGGGTGTAGAATGAAAGGAAGCGGGGCGACGTTGCGGTCAAGCTGATTGGTTAAATCAGAGGGCGAATGACTAAAAAGTGCTTATCAGACGTAAGCTGTGACTGCATTAATAAGAAGCTCTTGGACCAAGTTTCTTTGATCAGTGGCACTCTCTTGGGCAGGAAATGTCTGGCGTTCAGCACATCAGCAAGCCATAATCTTCGGCTTTCGTCAAAGTGTTAGGCCAGTTTCAGGTTTAACGACGCCTACCGTCTCATGTTCCCATTTCTGATGGACGTTTATTTCAAAATGGCTGTCTCTTGGCGTGTTTGACCACGCAGTCTCCTGCCATCTGTTGACTGAGTGGGTAAGTAGCTTCAAAAACCTTCCAGAAGCCAGTTTTCTTCATACTCGACTGTTCAAGAGCCAGAAATCCCACAGAAATTAATTTAATTTTGATTTGTGTCTGTCTTATGTGTATCAGAGCCTCTCCAGAACAATTTTTGGTGGGACAAAGAATTTTTGAAAATATATTGCTAAAAGAGGGAAATGGCATGGGCTCATGTCTCAAACAAGGCACGTTTATCTCTCCAAAGAAGTGTGTGATTAAATTTATTATTTTTACCTAAGGTAATATCTAATGAAATGTACCAAACGTAGTTAGTGCAGAACACATGTCATTTAACAGCGTTTTAATATGGTCATAACCTCTCCATCTATTTTTATGTAATAAAATGTATTACGTCATAATAGCAAGTAGGTCGGGGTTCTATGTACATGAGTGAAAGAAAGATCACGTGGGAAATTTTCTGAAATATGGTGAGGCAATCGTGCATCGAATTCCGATTGGGGGAATTTTTGTTAAGGTTTTCTGGAAACAAATTATAAGCAACGACATTTCGGTGGAAGCTGTGCCCTTAGCTTCAAGCAGTTTTCCATTATACCCAAAGACAGCCAGCCCATCAGACATGGATATTTTTAGGGCAAATCATTTTACGACTCACAAAGATAATTCTTTTATTCTTATTCTACACCGAAATCTCTGATATTTTAGAACCCCAAAAGTAAAAGTATATATATACATGTTTTCTGTAACTGTGTCCGCGAAATGTGGTAAAAATTTTCTTGAGTGTAGATAACACTGATGGATGGTGTTTCTACTTTTAATATTTCAAATTGCAGGCACAAGGCGGCAGACATGAATATTTGTAGATCCGGGATGTCGACTTGTGTCATCGAGAACCTTCCGAATGCAAGCGATTACGCCTACAAACACAGAGACAAATTAATGGAGGAGAAATGCAAGAAAAGGAGAAGAAACGTAGAAGAAGAAGAAGAAGTAGAAGGAGAAACGCTGAAAAAAAAGAGGCGAAACGTAAAAAATGTTAGATTTGGAAAATCAGTAGTTTGCAGTTGATTACATCCACGACGAACACATTAATGTTAATTACTTTCCTTACGAAAATTATGTACAAAACTAGGAAAACAAACAAACAAACAATACTCTATATGAACAAGAAGAATGTAACAGGTGTTGATCACTTTGTGGACAGCTTTCCATCACCAGTAAAATGACAAACAAAATACTGTGCCATTATTGCACTGTGCCAACTGAATGATGCCAAAACTGTTTGTGACTTAAAATGGAGGAGCAGTCTCAGATATGTAGTTCTCTTACTGACCAAATGATGAACAACATGGTGTGCAATGTGAGCACCAATCCTGCTTCTTAAGTGCTTTGGTTACGAAATGCCAAAGTATTTCACAAGAGAGATGTGAAACTTCTATAGGACAGAGAGTCCTAATTGTAATGTAAGAATGTTGAAACCTGATGTCGAGACCTTTTTATTTTCACAGGTTGAAATCTTTGGGTAAGAAATGCCAAAGTATCTCACAAGAGAAATCTGTAACTTTCCTATGCCAGACATTGCT